CTTATTCCACTGAGCTATCTCCCCGGCCCCTGTATTGTTACATTTTAAAATGTGTCTTCTGTAAGCAGTACATACTTGGGTCTTTATAAGCCTACTTGACTGTCTTGGACTTTTTTTTGTTGTTGTTGTTACCAGGGATTGAACTCAGGACTTTGTCTTGCCAGGCAAGCACTGATTCCACTGAGCTATCTCCCCAGCCCTGTCTTAGACTTTTAATGGGGGTGTTTAGTCCATTCATATTTAGTACAGTTATGAACTGAACTGCTCATCAGTCTGTGACCTTGCTCTTTGGGTTTTGTTCTGTCTACGCTTGGTTCCTTTGGTCTGCCTTTCTTGCCTTCCTAGAGACTAATCAAAGATTCTTAATAGTTGACTTTATCTCTTCTATTAGCTTCATGTCTTTTTGTATTCTTTCTTCAGTGGTTCTTTGGTTACTTTAAAATTCTGCACCTCTACATTTGCCTTATAACCCTCTACTTTCCAAACTCTGCAAGATGCATGGATGCCAATCTCCATTCTCACCTTCCCACCCTTCCAGCTGTTACGGTGCATTTTACATCTGTGTATAAACCTTATAAAGCATAATTACCAGGGTTGCTTTAAATAATCACTACCCTTTTAAATTTACCCACATATTTACCCTTTATTTTGTTTCTCATTCCTTCCTCTACTCTTGTGTTTCTGTTGGAAGTTATTTTCCTAAAGCATGCTTTTTTAAAAAAATCTTGAAACAAAGTCTCCTAGCTTTCCTTTGGCTCTCTTTAACCTTCCCTTTTGAAGGCTATTTTGACTTTTTAGGACTCTGGGGACAGGTTTGTATTTATCCCACAGCCCTTCAAAGATGCCACTATATTGCCGTTTGACTTCCATAGTTTCTGCTGAAGTTCCCTGAAGTCATATTTTCTTCTATTACTTGGTAATAACTTTATTGTTAATTAATTTTATTGATATGCTTTAGATCTATATAATGATCACATTCATCATAAGGGGTTTGACACATTGTGTCAACTGGAGGAGTCTAGAAGCTTAACTAACTCCTTTTTTTTTTTTTTTTTTGTTTTACCTGGGATTGAACTCAGGACCTTAGGATTGCCAGGCAAGTGCTTATTCTACTGTGCTATCTCCTGGAGCCCAAACAGGCCATTAACTCCTTTTTTTTTTTTTAAAGAAGCTTAATTAAGTAACTCAGCAGGTCTACATCCTAAGGTGAAAAGGACATGCCCTTAGCGCTCCAGGATGTTGTTCGCTGGGTCAACTGAAGTTTACAAGTTCAGCTGAGTGATTCAGCAAGGGGCCACAGTCCTCACTTTGTAAACATCCTCAGTTTAGGGAAGAGGAGGGCACAGAGATGGTGTGGGTGTGGGCAGAGAGCCCACATACAGTGTAGTAAAAACACAAAAAAGAGGCTTGCTTCCTCCCCCCTTTCGCTCTTGCTGTCTTCTGCCACCTTGGACCGTTGCCCTGTGCCGTGCCGCCTTGCCTTGGTGCCAGCTAATTACAGACTAAAACCTCTGCAAACTTCAAGCTAAATAAACCTTTTCCTCTTTAACTTGGGTGTCAGGTATTTTGTCTCAACAGCAACAGCAACAACAAAATAACCAAGGCACATTTTGGAGGCTATTTTTACTTTTTGGGATTCTACAGTCAGTTTTGTATTTATCCTTCAATCATCCTTCAAAGATTCTCTCTCTCTCTCTCTCTCTCTCTCTCTCTCTCTCTCTCTCTCTCTCTCTGTTTTATTATCATATGCTTATTTTTCTGTTCTCACTTCCTGCTACTAGTACATTGTACTAAGAAGTAATAGGACAGTGTGGTATATGCCAGGAATCCCAGCACTCAGGAAGCTGAGGCAGGAGGATCACTGAGGCCAGCCTGAGCTACAGAGTGAATTCAATGCTGGCCAGAACTACATAGAAAGACTCCTCTCAAAAACAAAGATCAGGGGCCAGGGAGATAGTTCAGTAGAATAAGCGCTTGCCTGGCAAGTGCAAGGGCCTAAATCCAATCCCTGGTTCTGAAAAAAAAAAAAAAAAAATCAGAACAAAACAAGAAAAGCAGAAGTGTTCATGTCTCTAGAGATTTTTTAAAATAAATACCCTAAGATACTAGTCCAGAAAAAGAATTTTCTTTTCCTTATTTGAATCAATTCAAGTAAGTCTGATTTTTATATTGCAGCTAAAAAGAGAATAGCATTTATTTAAATTCACTTACATTTCAATTAATTCACTTATGTATCTATCCCACAGGTAATGTAGAATGAATTTCTAGTATCGACCCATGCTCACTTCCCTCTTTCCTGGGACACGGGTGAACCACAGTTCCAAGTCTCTGGGTAGGCCGTGAGCCTTATGATGAATGACAAAATGAGTATTTAACATTTTAGGGAAATGTTACAGTAAAAGACAGATTGCCATTGATTCCTCTCAAAATACTTCCCCTCCCTCTGGACACTTATCCATCCTTCTTACCATTTCATGAACATCCTAGAAGTTCTCTTTTCTCTTAGATATGATATCATGGCTGCCTCAGTGTCCTGAACCAATTCAGAATTTACCTCTCATGGTCATTTTGACTTTGGGGAAGAGCCAGATGTCACAGGGTGCCAGATCAGGGAATATGGCAGATGACGACACACTGCAATGTTTTCTATGACCTTGATTTTGTGTTGGAGGACACTTGGCAGCAGTGTTCCATGTATTTTCATCATATCCCACCATATTCTCATTTTAAAGACCCTCACAAAAGGGGACTGCCAGAACTACTTCAGAAAGTGGCAACAATGATGGGATAAGTATAAGCAACAGAGAATATTTTAAGGATGATAAAAAGGGATTTATCCTTTACTGTGTTTTTATTCAAACAAGCTTTGTATGTTTTGATCATCCCTTGTATTCCCAGTGGGCGATGAGCATAAATAATATGTGCCACTACGAAGAAGAGATATTTAAGAGGGACCGAGGAGCTAGAGGGGTATCTTAGTGAGTGAGATCCAGCACTCCATCTCCAGCACCAAAGGGTGCAGGATGAGAGTTCTCCCTACCTCTTTCCTGGCAACAAAGGCCACATGCTTAACTACAGAGCCTCCCAGTCTGGTTCTCTGAGCCACTGCTGGGAAAGGATCCATCTGAAGACCTGTGAGGGATCAATGTTAGGGTTTAGCTCTAAAATGGCCCCCAAAGTCTGATGTGTTCTGAAGCTGACTGGACTACTGGGGCATCATAAACTGACTTGCTGTTAGGAGGCCAGGTCTGACCTGAAGAGCCAGGTTCCTGTGAGTGTGACCTGAAAGGGTTTGCCTCCTTCAGGGCCCCTCTCCTGACAGAGTCCTGGCTGCCCTGAGGGGAGCACCTCTCCTCAGCCAAACCTTCCTACCAGGCCTTGCTTGCAGTTGGACCACCATGGCCTAAAATCACAACCCAAATAAACCCCTCTAAATTGGGCATTGTGTTCCAGGGAGTGGAAGGTGACTACAACCCAATAAGAAGGACTTTTCATGTGTAGAGCTGGAGTCCCTGAGCTTTCTGGTCATGACCAGAGTCCACCCTATCCAGGCCCATGCAGCAGGCAGGACCTGAACAACACAAAGACACCGTGTTTTCTCTCATTGCTCTTTTATTTTTAAAGCTCCAAATTCTAGTAGTATTGAAACTGTTATTTGAACCACTAAATATAATAAGCCATGATTAGCATCATAAAATTATGAAAGCTTGGTGATAAATAGCTTTAAATTACCTGGCATGGTGTTTCCTCAAGTCTTCTCCCCCTTTAAGGCATACACATGAAAAGGAAAGCTGTATCTATTCTGAGTTAAACTGCAACATACCTTAAATCCTAAGTAATTTTAATGATACTATCTTGCATATTCACATTAGGGACTTTCCAGGCAAGAAATGAATTCTGTATGTTTAAAGAGAACAGAAAATGATGTTCATCTTCGTTTCTGTCTTTTCTCACCCACCTTAGGCTACCTTTCAGCTGAAAGCATGACACTCACACCACCCCTTGTCAAAGTTCTCTCTCCTTCTCCTGGATGACCCTTCCCCATATTAACATACTCTTGAATCTACTGGAAAATTTACAAAGAACTTCGCTGTGAGCTATTTATAAATAGTAACTCCATCAAGTAATTTCTTGGATAACATACATTCTAGTTAGGGAAACTATGTTCTAATCTAAAGGAATAAATTCTAATTAGTAGAATGTTGCTGTTATTTATTGGAGAGGTTAAGCTATCCAAGACAGGAAGCATGAAGATATACCCATATTTCCATCAAAATACGTCCTCTGGGTAGCTCCTTATTCTATAGATATACAAAGTCCATTCTCAGGTACAGTATTTCTCTAAGGTGGGACTGGTAGCAGCTGTGTATGATGGTTAATTGCCTATGTCAACAGGACTGAGCAGTGGGCACTCGAGATATTTATTCAAATGTTTTAGCAGTTTCGGCCAGGCTGATTTTAAACTAGTTTAAATTTATACGAAGAGACAGTGTCCTTCCTGAGGCAAGTGTGCCTATGTAATTCATGAAAGTCTGAAGAATAAAATGATTGGTTCTCCCCCAAATAAAACTGCCTTCAAACTGAGACTTTTTTGCGAGGGTTTTTATTTCTTGCCTTTGACGGGCAACATGCCATCGGACCCCCTGGGTTCCCAGCTTACCTCCTTATAATAATTTACCAGTGTCCCATTGGCTGAAGCAAGTCTTTGACCAAAGCCAGGGAGGAAAGGGCCAAGTACAGGCACCAATACCAGGAGGCTGACTTATGACTCGAGTCTTCAGTATTCACGGTTAACTCAGGTCATCAGCAGTCTCTTCATTCTTTAGGACTTGCCTGGCTCGGTAATGCTTAACTCCCACCTTGACAGTAGCATTCTTTGGGGCGAATTTGGGGATTTTTAGAAATTTGGATGTTGTGCCGAAACATACTCAACCTATGTACATTTGATGATTATCCATTGTGTAGATCCTCCATTATCTTGTAGTTGAAGCACTGCTTGTTTTATTATGTGCATAGGTTATATCCCCCATGAATTTTATTTCAGGATATTAAAGTTTTATCACAAGATATCTATCATCACAGGGTAGTGGTTTAGGTCTGAGGTTTGTGAAATTGAGTAAATCAGCGTGTTGTGAGGACGACCTTTCTGATATCTGCCCCGAGAGCACGATAAAGTGTCGCTAACTTACTTTTCAGCCTACTTTAAGATTTTGAGCTGTGCGTAGTCAGTGTGGAACACAAGCACCGGGAGTTTCGTGCTTTAGGAAGCAGTGAGAGAAAAAACTATCAGAAAACCTCCGTGCGTGGGCTCTGCTGCCAGACTCAGCACTCCAAAGCCCCAACTGCCTTGGTCACCATGGCTGGGCTGGCAGGATGAATTTGCTTATGCATTATAATTCGAGGTTTGAACTTATTTTACCATATACACGGAATTCGTTTCCAGCCTGCGGGTAGCAGGGCAGATGGTGCAGTTCCCACTCCCGGCAGCTGGAGGGGCACGCAGTAGGAGCACGATCGCCGTGGCTGGCCCGAGTTCACGGCGGCAGTTGAGCGAGCCGTCCACACCCGCGCCGCGCTCTTATCTGTCTCCAGGCCCAGCCCGGGCCGCGGGCGGGAGCTCTGAGCAGATGGCAGCCCAGGCGCCAGGTGCACCGCACGCCTTCCTCTCAGCCGAGTGGGGCGCTGGGTTCTTTGCGCCCTGCCCTTCCCGCCCCCTCGAGCACCCTCGGCCCGTCTCGAGCCCCGTGTGAATCGGGCCTGCGGCGGCAGCAGGAGCGGGAAGGGCGGGAGAGGAGCGGCAGTGCCCGCAGCTGCCCGCCTCTCTCCGCCCCGCCCGCGTCCCCCGCAGCCGCGCGGCTCCGAGTGCCCTCCCCGCGCTTCCCGCCCCGCTGCTTCCCTCCGGCCCGCGCCTTCCCCCGCCCCCCTCTGCCGCAGGGCAGCGGCGTGGCTTTGCCAACGCTGGCCCGGCTCGCGCACGTTTCAGCGTTTTCCCTAAGTGACATCAGCCGGGTCGCAACTGTAATTGCTTCTCTCCGGCTGCCGGGCCGGGGCGGGGCGCCCACGTGGCGCGTAGGGCGGAGAAGGGACAGGAACAGGGCCCGGCGGGTCCTAGGGAAAAGCACACCCTCCTGTGAGCTGGCCTCCGAGCTCACGGTCTCCCCCAGCCCTGTGCTCGCTGCTCCCAGGCGCGCTCCGCCTCCAGGTGCCGCGGACGTGGGGCTCAGCCTGGGCTAGGGCTTCCGGCCCCTGGGAGCAGCCTTTCCCACGCTTGCGTGGGGCGAGTGCAGGCGTCGAGGCAGGTTTGCCTCTCCGAGATCTCCGGGGAAAGGACTCTGGCGCAACCGGGTGCCAACTGTCACCGCCCTACCCCCTTGGCTCAGAGCCTTTCCCCAAGCTACGCGCCGCACACCCCACCCCCGCGCTGCCTCCCAGAGGAAACCAGGCCCCGCGCGCCGCAGGGGTTCAGCCTGCGGAGACGAAGGAGGGGGCGCCCGAGCTCCACGTAGGTGGCGTGCTGGCCGATGCATGGCCCCAGGCGCGCCCAGCGCTGTCCCAGCACTACACACAGGGGTGTTTGCAGCTGGGGGTGCTGGGCGCCAACGAAGCGGCAGCCAAGAGGCCGTCAGTTCCGGTCAGTGGCGGAACTGGGCACCAGCGCCAAGCGCCGAGCTGGCCCGAAGTGGGGGTGGGGAAGGACGAGCCGATCGCTCGTGAGGCGCCCCCGGGCTGGCAGCGGCAGTGGCGTCTCCAAATGTGCCCGGGGAGCCGGCGGGGGCGCCTGCGCCCGAGTTGCGTGTGCGCGTGCGCGCGCAACCTCAACCCCTTCCCGGGCCATGGAACCGACCCCAAAAACGAGTGTTAAAATGCTGCTGACTGGACGGCCGGTAACGTGTTTACAGCAGGAAAGACCATCCTCCAAAAGCTCAGCCTGAGTCCATTGCTGCTTATTTCCTCCCGAGAACTGCAACGCAAAGGCGAAGCTGAGCACGCTGGACCCTCGGCCAACGAGCTCCGGCACAGAGTGCCCGAGTCCCTGCGCACGGCATGCGAAAGCTGTGTGTACGTTTTTTATTTGTGTAATCTTGGAGAAGGGTGGCCTTGGGTAGTACCTTAGCAAGGGGCCTCCTTTCTCCGCCACTGCCCTTGGAAGCCAGGTGTAGCTGGCCGAGAAACTGTATCCTAACTCATGCCAGTCTCAGCAGGTCGACACACACGGGAATGGGTCACCTCTGGCGAAGGGGACCGAGTCCTGGCTCCCCCAGCCACTGGGAGCTTCTGACACGCGACCAGGAGGCGGAAGGTGGTGGCCCTACACTTAGTTATGAAAAAAATAAACCGATCAGAATTCATCGACACACCTGATTAGCCGTTGGTCCCTAAGCTTCTACCTACAGAAGGTAAAGCGGAGGGTGAGAGCAGCTCCGAAGAGCCGCAAGAGGGAGGGAAACAAGTTTGACCAACCAACCCCAAGCGGTCCCGTCTCCTCGCCGGCACAGGGAGGCTCAGCGCTGCCACCTGGCGGCCGCTTCTCCAGTTGGGAGGCGGCCGGCCAACGAGCAAATCCAGGCCCTGGGTGGGTGTGCCTCGTCCCGCCTGCGGAAAGACAGCAGAAGCCAGACTTCAGCTTCAAACCTAGGGGGCCGTGCACACACTCGCCTTCTGCTTGTTCCCCAGAGAAAACCAATTGAGTAGAAGAGTTCTGAGTTGGCACTGATTG